GTCACTACTGTTGTATTACAATAATATTCTATCCTAATTCACTTGAATAAATACTATGATACCATATTTCTGAATATTTTCATTAAAATCCATCAAAATCATTTTCCTTGTCATCGTCTTCAGCACCAAACCGCTCCTCCCAGTCTTCTCCTTGAACAGGGCTACAGGGTACGTGTCTTTCGAATCATTTTCAGTTAAAAAACTGTTACATCACATGTATATTTTACCTAAACTGCGCCTGAATGAATATATTCTCAGAAATAAATTGTAGTTTTGCTGAAACGTGATGTATTTCAATGTAAAATAGGATAAAATACATGACGAAAACAAAAGACTTTACCTAACCTTCCGATGTTCAAGAGATGTTACTCATTTTTTTAATAGTTTTAGGTTAAAATACTGTTATATTACAATGATATTCTATTCATACTGTGCTTGACATGATACACTCACGGAAATGTAATATCTTTGCTGAAATGACGTACGTATTACAGTGGAAAGTGGGATAAAATCGTGACGAAAACAATGAATTTCGCTTTCTTTTGTTCAAAAGACGTTACCTTAATGGCTTTTCGAATGGTTTTCAGTTAAAAAACTGTTGCATCAAAGTGAATTAGGATAGAATATTATTGTAATACAACAGTTTTTTAACTGAAAACCATTCGAAGAGAGATTACGGTAACATCTTTTGAACAAAACAAGGCGAAAGTCATTGCTTTCGTCACTTTCCACTGTAATACGTATGTCATTTCAGCAAAAATATTACATTTATATATTCTCAGAAATAAATAGTAGTTTTGCTGAAACATAATGTATTTCAATGTAAATTAGGATAAACTACATGAAAACAAAAGACTTTACCTAACCTTCCGATGTTCAAGATATGTTACTCGTTTTTTTAATAGTTTTCGGTTAAAATACTGTTATATTAGTGATATTCTATTCATACTGTGCTTGATATAATACATTCACGGAAATGTAATATTTTTGCAACTACAATGCTGATGTCAACACAAGCGTGGTTACGTGAGACTGACAGCTGACTGACTGAGGCGCGGGAACTCAGTGTGGTGCAGGCAATGTGTGTGTGTGTGTGTGTGTGTGTGTGTGTGTGTGTGTGTATGTGTGTGTGTGTGTGTGTGCATGTGTGTCTGTGTGTGTTTGTCTTGTGTGTGTGTGTCTGTGTGTGTGTGTGTGTGTGTGTGTGTGTGTGTGTGTGTGTGTGGTGTGTGTGTGTGGTGTGTGTGTGGTGTGTGTGTGGTGTGTGTGTGTGTGTGTGTGTGTGGTGTGTGTGTGTGTGGTGTCACGCATGACTTGAATAATGTATATTCCTTTTAATGTATATTCTTCCAGCGGCAATCGGAGTATTTGCAAATCCGTGTAAGTTAAACCCGCGTATATTAAGGGCCGACTGTATACTATGTATATATATATATATATATATATATACAGTGAACCATCATTTTACGCGGTCAATGGAACCCACGGAGACCCGCGTAAAGCGAGAAACGCGTAAAGTGAACAACATAACATATGGGATTAATTGAAATAGAGACCGGGCCGACCCCCCAAACTCCACTTTTTCCTGACACAATATGTACGTTTTATTAAAAATAACATCTTAACTTTATGATGGTATGAAAAAACAAGTAATATAGAAGAGAACAATCAATAAGAGAATAATATACTGTAGGTTAGGTTAGAAAATATCAAGGTTAGGTTTAACACTTAAGTTAGTAGAAGAGATGGGTCGGCGTACAGGAATGGAGGCTGGTTCTGAGGCAGAGGGCAGGCTACTGGCCCTCAGGTGAGTCATCATCACTGTCATCCACACTTATCAGTGCCTCCCTGACAAATCCCTCAAAGTCACCATCACTGTCTCTGTCACTATCACTGGCTTGGGCTGGCTGTGGTGGGTTGAGGGCAAAGAACTCGGTAATGCTTTGTTGACAGCTGGTGTTGATGTTGTCGTGATACACCTTGATGTAGGGCTCCATAGTCTGCAACAGATGGGTAGTGAAGACTTCATACCGGTTATCATCAGGGTCGTCGGAAAGGAGGAGCTTCAGTTTCTCTACACACTCGATGGCACCCCTTACATTACCATGCGATAACTCGCGTTCTTCTTGGGATGACGCACCACCTGCCTCTTCACTGACGTCATCATCATCTAACATCTCGTCGGCAGTCACATCAGGATCCCTTATCACCTCCATAATGTCATCGTTGGTGGTCTCGGAGAAGCCTTTAGCTGTAACACTCTTCGCAGCTTCTCTGGCAAGGTCCACTGCTACTGCAACAGTCTGAACCTCACCAGTCACAGATTGACTCTGCCTCCCACCTGGAATACCTTGCAACACATGTCTCTATGCGTGACGAACCGTTGCTACAGACAGCTGATCCCATGCCTCCACCAAGAAGTCCACAGCTTTCTTGACGTTGAATTTTCTCCAAAAGTGTTTCAAAAGTACTTCTTGCTCTGCCAACTGTTGTTCCTAGTCCTCTTCGCTCTTGCTATCAGTGTCACCCAGGTTTACGCAACTCATCCTTGGTGTTGGTATAGTCGTTCAGCTTAAACTTTGCAGAGAATGCAGCTTTCACATTGCAGATTAATTCTTGGTCCATGAGCTGTATTAATGACGTAGTGTTGGGATGAAGCAAGAACACTTTTACGTTGGGGTGACAATCCAACAGTAGGGGTGTGTGTCCTGGTGAGTTGTCAAGCAGCAACAAAATTTTGAATGGAACATTCTGTTGCTCACAGAATTTCTTCACGCCGGGAACGAAACAGTCATCAAACCAGGAGAGGGACAGAGTAGAGAACATCCACGCCTTACGTGCGGTCAGCCAGTGGACATTTAGCTTGGTCATGTCCATGCTCTTGTAGGCGTGCGGCTTGCGTGCTGTGTGGATCACCGATAACTTGAGCTTACAGGTAACGGAGGCATTGGTGGTAAACAGGACGGTGATGCGCTCCTTCTGCAACTTCCGGCCCCGACACTTGCTGGCAGTCTTGACAATGAAGGTCTTGGAAGGTAGCTTTTTCCAAAAAATTCCAGATTCGTCCATGTTAAACACCTGGTCATCGGTGTACTGTCCTACCTCCATAATCTCACGTAAAAACGGAGGAAAATCCCGAGCCGCAATACGGTCAGCACTAGCTTCTTCACCACCAGTGTTAATGTTGGTGATCTTGTTCCTCTTCTTAAACCTCTGCAACCACCAAGAGGAAGCATTGAAGGGTTTGGGCTCTGCAATTCCCATCTTACGTAACACTGCAGCATACAGTTCACGTGCGTACTCCTTAACTGAGCGCGTGTCCACCGCCATGTTCCGTTTTGCCTGAAGAATCAAGTAGCTCACAAGTAATTTCTCTGTCTTGAGAAGCACCTGGTTGTGGCAATACTTGATCATAGATGCACCTGTAGACTTTGTGATGTTCATGTGCTCCTTTATCTTGGCTGCATCCTTCTTGATCGTCCTTATCATAGATTCGTTAACACCATGCTGGCGCGCGAGAACAACCTGTTTTGTTCCTTTCTCCAACTGTTGGATGATCTTGTATTTAATTTCGTAGCTTAGGGCACGTCGTAGTTGGGTATGCTATAACGAATGGATTCTACTACGAATACAGTCGGCCCTTAACATACGCGGGGGTTACGTAACAGAGATAGCTGTGGATGTTAAAACCAAGATATGTGCTCCCCGGAGAGAGAGAGAGAGAGAGAGAGAGAGAGAGAGAGAGAGAGAGAGAGAGAGAGAGAGAGAGAGAGAGAGAGAGAGAGAGAGAGAGAGAGAGAGAGAGAGAGAGAGAGAGAGAGAGAGAGAGAGAGAGAGAGAGAGAGAGAGAGAGAGAGAGAGAGAGAGAGAGAGAGAGAGAGAGAGAGAGAGAGAGAGAGAGAGAGAGAGAGAGAGAGAGAGAGAGAGAGAGAGAGAGAGAGAGAGAGCGAGAGCAAGAGCGTAGAGCTAGAGAGCGAGAGCTAGGAGCGAGAGAGCGAGAGCTAGAGCGAGAGCGAGAGCGAGAGTAGAGCGAGAGCGGAGAGAGAGAGCGAGAGAGAGAGAGAGAGAGAGAGAGAGAGAGAGAGAGAGAGAGAGAGAGAGAGAGAAAGAGAGAGAGAGAGAGAGAGAGAGAGAGAGAGAGAGAGAGAGAGAGAGAGAGAGAGAGAGAGAGAGAGAGAGAGAGAGAGAGAGAGAGCGAGAGAGAGAGAGCGAGAGAGAGAGCCAGAGCGTAGAAAGTAGAGAGAGAGAGAGAGAGAGAGAGAGAGAGAGAGAGAGAGAGAGAGAGAGAGAGAGAGAGAGAGAGAGCGAGAGAGAGAGAGCGAGAGAGAGAGAGCGAGAGAGAGAGAGCGAGAGAGAGAGAGAGAGAGAGAGAGAGAGAGAGAGAGAGAGAGAGAGAGCAGCAGAATCTGCCGGATGTAAACAAACCTTTATTTCCCGTGGCTTTCTTGTTGTTTTTTTACGGGGATTAGCCCACCCGGGCATAGGTCACTGACCCACATTGGGGCCTGAGTGGCAAAAATTTAATACTCCTGTAATAATTCAGATTAAAAAAAAAGCCTACCTACCTATTGGACAAACTAAAACCGTTCCGGATCACGGGAGTTTCCGGACCACAGAATGCCGGACTAGAGAGGTACAACCTGTACTGCATAATTATGATCGTTCACCTTACGATGGTTTTTCGATATTCCAAACACTATCGTATAACAGTCAACGCCTGTACTTACACCGCATGATCCCATTTTGTTTATCATTTTAACTTGCTTTAAGCTGGTTCAATATAAGTTAGTAGGAATCAGTGTTCATAGAGCCAGGACCAGTCATTGTGGTCACTCATCATATAAGACAAGTGTCTATGTTTTAGTATCACAGCACAACTATTGGGTCAAAAACTTTAATCAAATACAGTCACAAAAAATAATAATGCTCATTAGTAAAGGCAGCTACTTAAGATAGAAATCTTAGAAAATATGAAAGAAAAAGGAAAAAAGGATACTCACAGGATACTCACTAACTACACCCTTATACACCTCTAAAAACTCTTCAGCTTGAATTTTATCCATACGGAACATCTGAAGAGCAGAAATATCAAATCCTTCCTCTTTTATTGCGTTCAGGATACCTCCCATGTTACCTAGGAAAAATATACTTGTTAAAATTCTGCTGTCTACTTATTATCAATATATTAGAATTTATACTTACCATAGTGTCAGGGCAATACTTTGCCATTCCATTCTAGGTGATTTGGGCCAATCCTGTGGTAACTTTAGAGTTGCTTGGTTGTTATTCACCATGGTATGCCCAATCTGTCACTCTGTCAAGGTACTGGCTTAAACTGACCCTTGTCATATAAAAAGACAACATTACACAGAAAAAGAACATGAAATAATTATGTTGCCACAGGGGTGTCATTTCAAATTAGCCAGAAGGGGTGAAGAAGGCAGTGAAAGGTCCTTTACATGTCAAAATTTATTAAGTGCCACTCACAATGTACTGTATAATCAAATTAATATAAACAATAATGATAAAATGGTATCAAATACTTAGATAAATTAGTTATAAACAGTACAGTAATCCCCTGTTTTTCGCGTTTTTGACCATTCGCGAAATTAAAATTTCGCTCCATTTTCGATATTCCACTGTGCAGTGCGGCAAACAGACGCCACCCTTTCCCGCCTCAGACACCCGCTGATCCAAGAAGCCTCAGTCCACACGTGCCTACCGTACTGTGAACGCTACAGTGATTACCTCTTCTGTTTGTTCTCCCACGTGCATTCCACATAGCTCAGGGACGTAAGCCAGCCTCATCAAAGGCAAATATTACTCGCAAAGACGCAAAAGTGACCAAGTGATCAAGAATAGTGATGACCTTAACGGAAAAAACAGTTTTATTGGACAAGCTCAGAAGTGGTATAAGCTATGGCTCGAGATGTACAGTGAGTTCTGCTATAACACGTGTTTTGACAATACGAATTGGCTCAAACGCGATTTTTGAATAGAGGAACGATATTTGTAAAACGCGAATGCTTGTTTGCTGTAACGCGATTTTTGCTTACTATTTCTCCAATTTTGTGGTATTAACTGTGAATATGGTAAACAAGAATATCTCCAAGAAGAGTTCATGATCGCATTCCCGGTGATGATCGTAAAAGAAAGGCTATAACACTTGAAGAGAAGCTCGATGTTATCAACCTCAAAATCACCCTTCTCCCCCATCAAGTTATATTCATATTTTCTCAAGGTAAAGTGTTACATTTACTGTATGATTTCATTATTAGATATGAATGTAACATTTATTTCTACTGTGCTATCCTTTGTGTTAGGCTAACTACTAAATTTTTTCGATTTTGAGTAATCTGCACCTAACCCTATTTTCTCCATAAGCCCTGTTATTTCTATTGCGCGAATTTCTATAACACGATGTTTTACAAGAACACAACTATCGCATTATAGCAGAACTGACTGTAGTGAAGACTGACAATTCATTTGTGTCTTTTGTCAGAATACAAGTCTTCAAGTGGAGGAATGTGGGTGAAAGAGGACTGGCTGGCTGGAGTGACTGAGTGAGGGCAGGCAGACGCTGGGACAGCAGGGAGAGGCTGGCAATGCAGGTGAGGGCGGGCAGACGCCGGGACAGCAGGGAGGCTGGCAATGCAGGTGTTGCCGACCTCAGCAAAATATAAATTTTTTATTTACTTGTGAATAAATTTTTTTTGCATATAACTGTGTTTATGCTTTTCCATTATTATACTACAATATGATTAGTTTCAAATAAGGATGTTAGTAAATGCTGGTACAGTGCATCAGTGATCAGTGTGACCACTGGGCCGTGAGTGGAGAGCATGGCGTGGTTACGTGCATGACCTACCTGAACTGTTTGGTGGCCACAGGTACAGTGATTCCTAAAAGAGTATTCGTGGTTTTGGCTTTTCGCGAGGGTTCCAGGAGCGTAATTCCAGCGAAAAACACGGGATTACTGTATACAGCTCCTCCCCGACTTACGACGGGGTTAGGGACCCAAATCCAGATCGTAAGTCGAAATGGTCGTAAGTCGGAAATGCTTAAATAATACATAAAAAATCTAAAATGGGTGTCTCTTTTTCTTCTCAACACCACAAAACACTCACTTTTAAGCTTGCCAGCCATTTTAAAGTGAATTACAAAAGAAAATTTTTGTCTGTGTACTGAATTTGGGACTCAAAAATACGCAATTTGACCAAATTTTGGTGCGACTGAGGCAGGTCGTAAGTGCGGGTGGTCGTAAGTCGAGTAGGTCGTAAGTCGGGGAGGAGCTGTAGTTAAATATCAGATGATTAAGTTCAACAATAAATACTGAAATTTATATAGGAGGTCCACATTATTTTTTTTTACGGGGAACAGCCCACCCGGGTACAAGTCATCGACCCACAACAAGGCCAAGGGGGCAAAAAAATAAGAGTAAAAAGATATTATAAAGAGAAAAGAAAAAGATTATATTAATCTACACCACAAAGATGCCGGAAAACCAGCATTTTGAAGTGAGACAGATTGTATGAGTACGGAAACACAGAAGAAGGCAGAGCATTCCACAATTTGGATGTGTGAGGAAAGAAGGATAAACTATAATGGGTTATTCCAGTGTGACCGACATCCACAGAGAAACGGTGGGCACCACGGGCAAGACGTGGGTTACTAGCCCATGGCCTTGCCGGCGATACACAGGATGCCAAATCCACCGAACATTGCCTATTAAAGTACCAGTAAAAGAGAGAGTGTGAAGCAACATTGCAGCAAAGAGAAAGGGAAGAGAGATTGTCGACTAAAGAAGGAGAGTTAATAAGACGAAATGCCTTTGATTCCACCAACAATTGAACAAAAGAAGAGCCAATCCAGATATAAGAGCAGTACTCCAAGTTAGGATGAATAAATCCCTTATATGCTTGAAGAAATTTCGCAGGAGTGAAGTAGCTACGGCATCTGTACAGCATTCCCAGCTTTAGCAATGTTGTGGATGTGTGGCTTTCATGACATTAAAGGAAATGGTGAGGCCTAGCATATCTATTTTAGAATTTGTCAGAATGATTGCATTCTTAAATGAAAGAGGTGGGAGATCATCTAATTTGTAAAGTGTAATTGCGACATAAATACAGTGCTATCTCCGTTAGCCGGAACAATTGGTGCAGAGCACTTCAGGGAATGAGAGATTTCCGGGTAACAAGACGACTCTCTTAAAGCTGGAAAAAAATACCTCATCCTCATCCTCATTCTGGCTATTGGAGAGTTCCAGGTTTGAGGGATTCTGGCTAACGGATATATTATTGTACTGTGTGTTTTATTACTATCGAATTTAACCAAGTTTCTACCTCCCCATTCAGAGATGCTGCACAGATCCGCATTGATAGATGAAAATGTGAAGAAGAGTAAAGAGTAGAATCATCAGCAAAAGAATGGATAGAATTAGTCGTAGTGTGAAGCATTTCATTGATAAAAAAAAGGAAGATAGTAGGTGAAAGAATAGAACCCTGTGGGACACAACTATTGGTAGAGAAAGAGCGAGAGATCGATCCCTCGACAACAATTGCCATAGACTGGTTCTCAAGAAAGCTAGAAAATAGAGGGGAAAGTAGGGGGGCGAAGTCCATAAGAGGGAAGTTTAGAAAGCAATGACTTGTGCCATACCCTGTCAAATGCTTTGGAGATGTCGAGGGCCATGACGAAAGTTTCCCCATAATTCCTAAGAGAGAATGACCAAAGAAGGGTGCAGCAAGGAGAGCAGATCACCAGTAGATCTCGCCTGGTGAAAGTCATACTGGTGATCCGACAAAAGAGAAAGGCATTCAAGGTGATGGAGAAAATGAGAGTTTAAGATAGTTTTGAAAATCTTAAAGAGGGATGAAGTTAGGGCAATGGGATGGGAGTTAGAGGGATTGGAATGGTCAACCTTCTTCGGGATGGGCTGAACCAAAGCAAGCTTCCAAGGAGAAGGAGAAGTTGGGGCTTTGAGACAAAGACGAAAGAGGCAAGCAAGCACAAGAGGCTAGAATTTCAGCACTCTCCCTCCGAACACGAGAGTATATTCCATCTGATCCATGAGCCTTACTCATATCCAACCTGGATAACACACCAGCAACCCCATGAGTGGAGATTATAGGAAAGTGCATAAATTCAGTAGGAGGCGCAGGAGTAGGAGGGATAGAGTTGGAGCCATCTTAGGTGGAGTTAAAGGAGAATAAGGTGCCAAAGAGATTGGCTTTATCAGGGGGAGAGTTGGCTATAGTGTTACCAGGTCGGAAGAGAGGAGGGAGTGCAGAAGTTATTACAGATGTTTTTGGTTAAGGACCAGAAGGATTTACTAGAAGAAGAGTTAATCAGTCAGTGGTCTTTCTTTTTTATAAAATTCCACTTGGCCCTACGAAGAATAGCGTTACAACGATTCCTAGAAGTAACAAAAGAGGAGTGGGTAATAGGAGAAGGAGATAATTTGATACGACCTATCTCTCTCCCTACACAAAGAGAACAGGAGCAATCAAACCAAGATTGTAAAGTGAAAGTTTTGGTAGAAGATGGGATAAATGCACTCATACCACCCTGTATAACCCCAGCAATGCTGTCAGCACATACTGAGGCATCCCAAGTAGAAAAGCAACATTCATCCCAAGGAAAGTCGGAGAAGAATTCTCGCAAGGATTGCCAGTTTGCCCTCCGATAGTGCCATAGTTGGTCTTTAGAGGGGTGGGGAGGTGGTCTTGCCCAGTTTGATTTAACAGAAATAAGATTGTGTTCAGAAGATCCTAAGGGGGCAGAAATTGTGTATAAATAGTGTGAGGGGTTAGAGGTAAAACAAAGATCGTGTACATCTGGAACACGTGTAAGGTGTTTAATTATTTGTTTCACATCATAAGTAAGGAAAAAGAGAGTGCTTCAACTCCACCTGGGTCATTCCTAGCAGAGTCAAGCCACTCTCTGTGATGTACATTGAAATCCCCTAGGTAGAGGATTTCGGTGTTAGGGTGTGTGGATAGCAACAACTCATGGCAAGAAGTGAGATAGTCCAAGAGTTTCAAACAGTTGGTAGAGTTGGGAGAACAATATAGGAAACAAAGAAAAATAATCATTTATTTGGTAGATATATTTTGAGCCAGAAGACATCATAAA